TGGGAGGAGTGTATGAAAGAGAGAGGGCGTGGTGTGAGAGTCAGGGCTCAGTGCATGGGAGTGAGGGGAGGGGGCTGAGGGGGCACATTGTTCGTTGGGGGGTAGGATCAGGGTTCTCACAGGTGAGTGCCAGTTTCCTCCTTGTTCTCCCGGGATTCCCGCGGATAAAACTCAGACACAACGTTCCCCGGAATCCTCTTCAGCATCTCCTTCGGGAAAATTCGTAGCAGTTGCCACCCAATGTCCAGGGAATCGAAGATTGATCTGTTCTCGTAGGGACCTGAGACAGAAACTACAACTCAGAGCCACTTAGGAACAGTAGGGGGCCATTCAGCCCTTAGGTCCTGTTATAGTAGGACAAGAGGAGGTTGTGGTCCATTTTGATATTAACAACATAGGCAAAGGGAGAGAGATGAGGTCCTGTAAAGGGAGGTAAGTGAGTTAGGTAGGAATTTGAAAAGCAGGATCTCTATGGTTACAATCTCAGGATTAGTTCCTGTGTAATGTTACAGGGAGGCTAGAAATAGGAAGATAGTTCAGTTAAATAACAGGGCGAAAGAGCTGGTGTAGGAGACAGGTTCCCCGATCACTGTGACTCCTTCCCAAGTGAGGTCCCTCCTTACCTTGGGCAATGAAATTCTTCTCAAACTTCTGCAGAAATTCCAGGTACAGGAGGTCATCAGAGGTCAAAGCCTCTTCACCCACCACAGCCTTCATAGCTTGAACATCTTTCCCAATAGCATAGCAGGCATACTGTCGGAGGAAGGAGGGCAAACCAGAATGGTTACACAGATGAAAAGAAACATAGCATACTGTGGGAGGATATAGGGAGAGTCCAAAAGGTTAGAGACGCTAATGCCACTAATTCCCACCTCAATTCCATCACATTCCTGAATCCCATCTCACTCTCTCAGCATCCCATCAAGCTCCCTCTTCAATCCTAATACACTCTCTCCCTAATCCCATTTCACTCCCTCTTCAACCCCATTTTACTCTTGCCTCAGTCCTACCACACTCTCTCTTCAATCCCATTTACTCTCTCCCCAGTCCTATCTCACTCCCTCTTGTTTGTTCTTTCACAGGATATGGGCATCACTAGAGCAGCATTTATTGTCCATCCCTAATTGCTCAGGGGGCAGTGAACAGTCAATCGCATTGCTGTGGGTCTGGAGTCACATGTAGGCCAGATTTCCTTCCCAAAATGGCATCAGTGAACTAGATGGGGATTTTTTTTGGTGACAACAATTAACAATGAATTCATGGTCATCAATATCTTTGGATCTTAATTCCCTTTCTTAAAAATTCAAATCCCACCATCTGCTGTGATAGCACTTGAACCTGATTCCCCAGAACATTAGCTCAGTTTTTGTGGATTAATAAAGCTAGGGGTAATACCCCTAGGCCATTGCCCCCTCCTCACTATCCACTCTCCCTATCAACCCTGGCTCACTGTATACACTAACCCATTCAATCTTATTTGAATGCTCCCTCTGAGATCTCTTTTCCTGTTCCCTGCAGTTAATGTTGGTGTCTCTCACTGCTGTCCTCCATGACCCCTACCCCTCCTTACCAGCTGATTGGACACATCGGCGTGGTCTTTGCGAGTCATCCCCTCTCCAATGGCTGATTTCATCAGGCGGGACAGAGAGGGCAGCACATTAATTGGTGGGTAGATCTGAAAGTGGGAAACAGATCATGGTGAGGGACACACAGCCAACATTGGGAACCTGGGCTGAATCAGACCATCAGTCTATCACCACACCCTGATCGCTGCAAGGATCAGATAGCACCAATCAGTTACAGGCCTACAATATAACCCGCAAACTCCATGAATAAGAGCAGGTTGGTCAGTAACCTGAGCAAACAGATTGAAAATAAGCTGTGACAGAATCCCAGGGGGTGATGATTTGCAATGTTTTCGCACACACTGCTGTTATGGGACTCATTGCCTGAAGGGGGCATGTAGGAAACACAGCCTTTCCATCGTCAGCTCCTTTACAATGGGGTATAGAACATAGAACGTAGAATGTAGAACATCGAACATGGAACATAGAACATAAAACATAGAACATAGAACATAGAATGTTGAACATAGAATATAGAATGTAGAACATAGAACATGGAACATAGAATGTGGAACATAGAAC